GAGGAGGAGGAGGAGAAGAAGAAGAAGAAGAAGAAGAAGAAAGAAGAAGAAAAAAAGAAAAAGAAGAAGAGAGGGAGGAAGAACGAAGGAGATGGTGGTGGTGGACCGATGATGATGATGGTGAAAAACTTGATGGAGAAACTTGGAAAAAGTAGGGGTGGGCAAAATAACCGAACTAACATGGTACCATACCGGACCGTGATGGTACCAAACCGTTTATAATGTTTTCAAATAGGATTGATTTTTTTCATCACGAACCGAAACCGAACCGATACCAAATGGGACGGGACCGTGATGCATATATTTAAAACCGATTATCACGGACCGAACCGTCCAATGCTATATACGGAGTGCGTATCTCAAATAATTATGGAGTATTTGTCTATTTCATCTTACCGCATATAGAATACTTCGTATTTTATTATTCATTTTTAAACTCTCTCATTATTATTGTTGTTATTATATTTATTTATCATTACTATTAGAATTATTTTTTTAATAGTTATTAGTATTCCAATATTATATGAATTGGGAAAAAAATTACGTAGTATTTTTTAACTTTCGACTCGTTATCTTTTATTCTTTATGTTTATGATCCGTTTAAATTTGAAATCAATACTTTTATTTAACAAACTTATACTTTTTTATACAAACTTATACATTAAATTCAATATTTTTTAAGTAATGTACATTCATTTTTTTGGCACGGTTTGAGCATGAGTATGGTATTGTACCGTTCCGTTTCAAAACGGAATGGTACCGAATGGTTTTGCAGTTCATCCCGTACCGATACCGAACCGTTTAAATAAGAGCGGTCCGTGATAGGTTCCGGTAGTATCACGGACCATCACGGACCGCGCCCACCCCTAGAAAAAACGGAGAATGGATGGAAAATCTTTGTTAGTATGTTTTTTTAAAATTCAGGGTATTTGGGAGTATATTTTCAAAATTGGAGGTACCCCGTAGTTTTTACCACAAAATATGGGTTGCTTCGATTATATTGGTTTTTACCACAAAATATGGGTATTTGAGTCTCCTACGACTTTTTGCCTTTTGTTTTTCTGCCACTGCAGCGTTCAGCTTTGATTAGATTGGTTGCTTCGCCGAGTGCGCTGGGCAACTCTGTTTGCGTTCGAAGAATCAGTCACTGCAATTCCTCACCAAGTCGCATCAGCCCATCGGATCAAAAGATCTCATCACGCGCCCGATGGCTTCTCGCGATCCAGAGAAGTTGATCGCGAAGGCGGATAAACTGTAAGTCGTCTTTCCTACTGTGTGGATATCTCTCTTCTCCACACTTGCATTTGATTATGATCGTTCCTTAATTATTTAATCTCGTTCAACTATAGTGGAGGAAATTGAGGATGAATTTTGAAAAAAACCAACAGATTTTTCAATCATTTCTGATCTCATTCTTAAATCTCATCCCTAATTCGGGTAGCCAGACACAGTATGAAAAGCTTTCTTCATTTTTGTAGAGTTTTGAATATAAAGCTTTTATATGGATTACTAGGTTTGTGTATTCGATCACAAATTTCATAGATTCTAAGTTAATTTTGTAAACTTTTTGAGCTTGATGATATTCAAAACCGAATTTTTCATTTATGTTTGATGAACTCTTAAGAGCAATATTTGCAAGAGTAACCTCTTTCATGTAGGGCTAGTTTTAGTCAAATCTGTTGAAGATAACTGGTACACCTTAATATATTAGCAATATAAAACACAATCATGCCAAGTTTCAATATTATAATTGCATGTCTCTGTCCATTTACTGCAAGTACTTGATAAGATCTGCCAATTTATCCCCAAAACTTAAATTTTCTTATGAATCTTATCCTTGACAATAAGTGCTTCCATGTCACCCAGTAGATAAGCATACAAAACCATACACAATGAAACATTATCTAACAAATACCATTTCCTGCATTGTAACTGTATTAAATCCCGCACATCCTGACATAGATCCAAACACTAAAACCATCTACATTAGCTATTTTTCGTTAGGTAGCTAGCTGGAACAGCATTTCCAATAAGATATTAATATGTGTTCTCACAAGATTCGACATGGTAAAAATAGCTACATTGATGTGATATATCCTTCTCAAAGCCCAAAGGGGTCATGATCCTGACGGGAACATAACATTAATGACCCATCATTAAACTTCCTACCCATCTATAGTCTTCCTTGGAAAAAAAGAAATCCAGACAGCAGAGTGTTAGCTAGATATTTAAAGAAGTAGCCAAGTAGGCAGTCTGTTCGCAGAGTTATGAGAGATAAAAAATGCTCCAGTTTTCTGTTCTCAAATTAGGCCAAAAATTGGATTGGCAAGAGGTCGGGGGTGCACCAGGCTGGAAGCAGCCACTCTTGATAGAGTGCGTAATAGCTTACCAGGCGGAGTAATATCTTGGAGTGATGATGTCATTTATGGAAACAAAGTATTACATTTGGGAATATTATCACAAAATAGAGAATTTATCCTGGAAAAATAAGATTCAACAAGTTGATTAATTAGTGAAAAGGGATGTGTATTAGAATTTTAAAAAACGAGAGTGTAGGGAGAGACCTTGTTTTTACAACCTTGACTGAAAAAGAATGGGTAAAGGTCATGCTTTTTCATGCCATTTTTCCTATTAAAGTTTATAGAAGTTGTGCCTGAATATACTGTATTGAAGTTGTTTGGATGTAAATCATGTAATACGGTCATAATTTGTTGGTCATTTGCATTTTGACACTCTCTCTTTACATACATGCACTTTATCTGTTATTTTCTTTTCTGTAGAACAAGACTAACTTTGACGAGGTGGACTCCTGATTGGGCGGGTGCTACTAGGTTGTATGAGGATGCAGGTATTGTATACTGCTTACTTTACTGCTTACCTTGTAGACCAAAAATGATGTATAAGTTGGGTGCTTGTGTATTCTATGATTTGTTCATGTGTAAATGGTCTGTTTTTTTTCTAGCAAATGGATTTAGGAAAGACAAGAATTATGAGCAAGCAAAAGCAGCATTTGAGAAAGCTTCAGAAGGAGAAGAAAAGCTATCATCGTATCCTGCTATTATACTTAGTTTACCCTCAAATACTTCATCTATGCTTCTTTTCCTTTGTTCCTCTTTTGTATCCCAGGCTTCCTTGACAAAATAAAGCCCTTGGGATGCTGCCAAACATATGCAATCTGCTGCTAGCATGGCAAAGGAGTTGCGAGCTTGGCGTGAAGTTGCGGACTTATATAGACGGGCATCTGTTCTCTACATTGAGTGTGGAAGGGCACAACCTGCATCTGATGCTCTTGCTGCAGGTGCACGGTATTAATCTGGACACCTTTTTAACCCATGGTTTAGACAAGACCTAGGACTTCTAGCCCTTAAGGTAGTTGGGTAGGCGCTTTAGGTTAGGTGGTAGTTTATGCACTTGTTCAAGGTTTTGAAAGGCGAAAACGAGCCTCGAGGCGGTGAAGAAAAATGCCTTGAGGCGTAAGCCTCGAGGCGGAACGAGGCGTAAGCCTCAGTTCAGTTTGAAAAAAACAAAGCTAAAATGAATACTCCATGGAAATTACAGAATACATAATCCATAATCATGATGTTGAAATCTAAAGGCTTCAATTCCTGATTTTTGCAAAAAGTAATACCCTCTCATAGTTTTTAAAATACAAAAAAGAAGAGAGAATTACTTTAACAAATTTAAACAATAACATAAAACACAAAGTCACAAATGCCTCAAGTCCGTCTTCAAACATGATAAAATGGATAAAGTTTCATGATTTTTTTATCTACTTCATAACCAAAATTAGACAAGTTTATTTCCACTACATAATACAATGAAATTTGTAGTTAAGCGACCTTCATACAAATTAAACAAAAACCATAGATGAATAGGGAGAGTAATGCTGGGAAAAGAAATAGAAATTTAAAGTTGGAAAAAAAATTTGAAAAAATTAGAAGGTGAACTAATTAGAATGTGAAGCAATTTTTGTCCATAAAGAAGAATATGAAGCAATTATGTTATGAAAATGGATAGACCGAAGGAACAAAAGGTGCGTTGTGGATAGGGGATGCTGAAGTTGAAGAAGATGGAGAGGCTGAAGTGCTGCGCGAGAACTGTGCTAGGTTGAGAATGGAGAGGCAGAAGTACAAGCAAAAGAAATCCTAATTTATCAAGTGTAAGAAGTTTTTAACAAAAACCTAATGCCCAAGATTTTTTTTAAAGGCCCAATTCCTTTGTACGGAGTATCATTTAACCCAGAGGTGCTGAATTTTTAATTTGAATAGAGGCTACCGCCTCAGTGTCGCCTCACCGCCTCAACCGCCTCGTACCGCCTCGGCCAGGCAAGGCGTACGCCTCACATACCCTTACCAAGGCTTACGCCTCTGAGGCTTAAAAGGCCCGCCTCACCGCCTTACCGCCTCGAGGCGGTCCGCCTCGAATGCCTTTTAAAACCATGCACTTGTTGTGTGCTTTGTATGCCTGGTGCCTTCTGCCTCCGTTTCTTCATTAACATTAGTTTGTCCTTTGCCTTTTTGTGCTCTGTGCTTTCCATGCTTTATGTGCTTTACGTGTCTTGTATGATCTTATATTATCTTATGATATCTGTGTTGCTTGTGCCGGGGCTCTCTTGGAAACAGCCTCTCTACTTTTGAGTAGGGGCAAGGTCTGCGTACACCCCCACAAACCCTACTATGGTGGGATTCAACTAGGTTTTTGTTGTTGTTGTTGGTTTAGTTCTTTGTAATTTAATTTTGCATTCCATAAGCCTGTTCAAGAAGTTACTGATTCCATCATACTTATAGCTTTGTTGTGGTGGCTCTTGTGGCTGATATTCTCATGTTAATTTATATCCACTACATGTGATATTGTGTTTATTTTGGTAGCGACGTAGTTTTATACAGAAGTAAGAAATATAGTCTTCTTGATAGCATACTCAAGCATGGAAGCTGAATGATTGATGAATTTCACTTGGGAGGTGCAAGACACCAAGCTTTTCTATGGTGGCTGAGGCTCTTCTGCGAAAAAAAGAGAACAACTAGTGCAGAGAAGAAAGAAAGAAGAGAAGAGCTCTGGAGAGTTTCAGGAGCAATAAATTCGGTTCTGTAGGTGGTTCTCCATCCCATTTGCACCACTGTTCATATTTTCCGCTGGGCTCTCAATACCATTTAGGTTGCTACCATTAGAGAGAATATAGGTTATAAAGTTGTGGTGGTGGTGGTGTCAGTGAATGAATATAATAATAGGCGAGGATCATAAAAATGGCGGGATAGTTAGATGGCGGGTTGCATTAAGTGGGTGTAAGGGTGTTATAGTCATTTTGGATATTATTTTACCAAAATATAAGCGTTGCTATAATTTTGAAACTTCCCAAAAAGGAAAGGGTTGAAACTATTAAAGAACGGAGGTACTCTATACTATATATTGGACGCAAGATCCCACACTCATCAGAAAACAAAACATATTGAAGTTTTCTCTCACTTTTTCCGATAGAAGCTTACTTCAGAGGGAAATATACTCATCACTAAATCTCTCTTCTCTCATTGGCGTAGGATTGAATGCATAAATGCATATTCCAATTTGAGAGGGAGTGTTAAGTTACTAAGGTAGTCATAGGGCGAAAGGTTACCACCTCACAATGTAGTTAAGTGTACTCCTTAATCTGAATTACATGCATATTAGTGCCCATGCTTTACTGTAAGTTAGCTTGTTATTGTGTGCTACTTATGCTTGGTGCTTTTTGATTGTTGAATTTTTCTTTTGTTCCCCTTAGTTTGCTCTTTGCTTATTTTTTCGTGCTCTGTGCTTTCTTTGCTCGCTTTGCAGTTTGTGTTTCTGGAGTCGGGGTCTCTTGAAAACAGCCTCTCTACTTTTGAGTAGGGGTAAGGTCTGCGTACACACACCCTTCTCAGATCCTACTCTTGGGAATCAATTGGGCTGTTGTGGTTTTATATATGACTAAAAATATTTATCTTCACCTAATCAAACTATTTTTCTTGTAGTGCTCTAGAAGAAGAGGTCCCTGATGAAGCTGTTCAACTATACACCGAAGCTTGTGCTGTTTTGGAAGAGGACGAGAAGGAGCTAATGGCATTCGATCTCTATCGTTGTGCTGCAATGGTTTATATAAAGCTTGAGAAGTAAGATATTGCTCTCTCTAGTTCGCATGATCTTGCTACTCTACTTAGCGTACCTACCAAAACTAGATACTTTTTTCTGAAGACTTCCTAAACCTTACGCGAAGTAAAAACTAAAAAGTAATATTATTGTCTTCGAGCACTTAAAAGAACAAAATGTTTCCATCATGAAGTGTGTGGAAGCATGTGGACAATTCAGAATAGTTTTATACCCCTCTGTCCCAAAATAAACTTCACACTTTCCATTTTTGTCAATGGCAAAATAACTATCACACTTTCCATTTTCATCCATCCAAAAATAAACTTCACACTTCTATCCGTCTCAAAATAAAATTCACACTTTCCTTATTTACTTTTAAGACAAAATGTGCGGCTCAAATCATTTCTCTTTCTTCTAAACAAATTGACACTTTTTAAGAAAAAGTGTACACTTTGGCATGCACCAAAGAAGGAATTTACTCACAAAACATGTATGTAGGCTTCTCTAATGCCATGGTTTGTCCGTAAACTCATTTGGTGTACACCTTGGTGTACAAAAGGAATTATACTTCACCAAATATCCTACACCTTGTTCACTCTAAATGAGTATATGTAGTTATGGGTTCACCATGTGATCTGGTCAGTTTTATAATACTTCCTCTGTTCCAAACAAACTTCATGGTTTTACTTCACGACATTTAGGAAAAGTGTTGAAATAATTGATTTCTTTACATAAAATGGAAGCACGTACGACTTGATAAAAATTGGAATTGGTGGATACAATTTTAACTAAAAGTAAAAGTAAGTGTGGATGAGGTAACCAATTGCTTTTTCCTAATTTGCCCTTGTCTATTAGATTTAAGCATAAATTGGCTTACCACATTAAATGGAGTCATCTCAATTATTATTTTTTTTGCATTACTCGTACCCATTAGATTTCTAAGATCAATGCCTATTATCTTTTCTTATTTCTTTCACCAAGCACCATTCTCACAGGAATCAATCCATACACACACACACATACATATGTCATATGTATATATATACATCATTTATTTATTTATACATAAATTTGGCGTTTCCCAAGCGTTTCGTCTCTTCATTTTTTCAAAATAGCCGTTTCGTTTCGTCTCCGTCCCCGTCTCCGTTTCAATGCTACATAGTACACACACACACATATTTACATATACATATACATACATACACACACGCGCGCACACACACACACACACACACATATAGGTCTTATACATTTTAAGGAAGCCTGATCGATACCCGAGAGAGAGAAGATAAGATTAAGTCAAATCTTTTTAAACATTTTAAATTAGGCTTTCAAAATAAATAGGCTGCACTAAAAGAAAATGTGCTGCACTAAAAAATGGGGTTTTCAAAAGTTTAAAGTGGCCAGAGGCGTCAAGGCGAGCCTAAGCGAGCGCCTGATCGCCTTAAGGTTTTCTAGGCGAGGCGAGCAGACAAGGCGTCAAAGTGACACGCCTTATCGCCTAGGCGACGCCTTACAATGACAATGTAAATTCATGTCACCACCCCTAGATTATGATGACAGAGCAAGATCTTTCTGATTGTAAATGACCACCTTGTTGAAGAATATACTTGGTCTGCACTCTATGCTTATAACAATGCACATTGTGTGTATTCGATATGAATAAATTGACCTGTGTATTGATTGTGCTCTTTGTGCTTTGGGTCTGAGTTGCAAGTGTTGGTGTGAGTGTTTCCTTTGTGTTCTTTGTTCATGTTACCGTGTTTACTTTATTTTTCTGTGCTTCTGTGTTTGAGCCGTGGACTTATGCAAACAACATTTCTACTACCATGTAGGGGTAAGGTCTGTGTGCATGCACCTATATACACCCTCATTAGACTACTAGTGGGATTTTACTGGGTTTGTTGTTGTTGTTGATCTATGTAGTGATTGACTCATTGATTGTTGCTTCTTTGGGGCTGATTACCTACAGGTATGCAGATGCTGCAGCTATTTATTTGAGATTGGCCTTGGCAGCTAATAAGTGTAATGCAACTCACAGCCAATGCAAGGTCGTGAAAATTTCTAATTTATAGGGGTGAGCATATGTTGGCTTCGAAATCGAAAAAACCAATTATTTTTTGAGATGCGTGGGACTGACCTACGTGACCAACCAATAATACAAAACCATAAAAACTAAACCGAATGTGGATTAATTTTATTCTACATTCTTAATATAAACTCATTTCCATTCCCCTGTGGAGCCAAAGCTTCACTATTTTTTGGCTTTGGGGTATGATGGAATAAAACAAATTGGTTTTTTAAACTGTCAGCGCTTCTTGCAAATTGCAATTGTGAAGTAACAGTTAGTCAATGTAACTTTTGACGCTCATCATGGGTCATCTGGAAACAGCCGCTCTATATTTTAAACATAGGGGTCAGAGTGCGTACACCCGACCCCCCCTTACCCCGCAATGGGCGGGAGCCCTTTAGGCACTGGGGTAATGTTGTTCTTTGTCGTAATATAAACTCAACAAATTAATTTGGGGAGCATGCATTTCAATAATTCTAACTAGTTCCTCCATCGGAAAATGTTTTTCCCATTCCGGTTTACGAGGCTTGATTGAACTTATTTTCAATTCAGTTTATTTGATTAGAAGTGTAAAATTCAAAAATTAAATTTATATACTTAAAAACTACATAGAAAGTTCTACAAATGAAGATGTGTCATGACTATATTATATTATAAAATGAGTAGTGAGAATAAGCAAACAAAGTCAATAAGGTTTGACCATGTGAATGGGAAGAACATTTTTGGATGGAGGGAGTAGTTTATACTATTACTTTGTATAAATGTGAGTTTGGAAGTGATGGTAGATAAATGGGGTATTGGAAAACAACACAAACACACACAGATATATACTCTAGCTAATGGTGACACAGTTTTAGCATCTCGTAAACTTTTTCGATACGAATATGTTTTGTGCAGGCGTCAGTGCAATTATTGTCCACCTATATGCTCATGACTTCAAGGAAGCTGAAAAGTGCTATAATGATTGTTGTCAGTAAGTTTCAAGCATGATATGCATTAACATATTTTTTTTTGACATTTTTTGTCAAATATACGGACACGATATCTCACCACAAGACCATGGCATTAAAATATTACGGAGTATCAAATAAATAGACTTGATCATTATTTTAGCATTGATACAGGAAATAAGAGACTGAGCAAAATGAAAATGAGTACATCGTTAATGTGCTTTCAAGGGAGTCATAATTTTCATATAACATCCTCTATAAACTGTATCCATGCATTACAACAACAACAACAACAACACCAACACCAACAACCACATTACCCCAGTACCTCAAAGGCTCGCGCCCATTGCGGGGGTAGGGGGGTTGGTTACACAGTCTGACTCCTATGTTTAAAACATAGAGCGGCTGTTTCTGGATGACCCATGATGAGCATCGAAAGTTGCATTGACTAAGTGCTACTTCACTATTGAAAAAGAAGCACATGCAATTTAAAGAGCCATTTTGCTTTATTTCATCATACCTAAAGCCAAAAAGAATAGTGAAACTTTGGTTCCGTTGGAGATGATGGAAATAAACTGTATCCATGCATTGAAAGCACAAAGAAACTACTCCCTCTACAACATCCCAGTAGAATCCTACAAACGTAGGGTCTAGGGAGAGTGTGTACTCAGACCTTACCCCTACTTGAAAGTAACAACAACAACAACAACAACAACCCAGTTAAATCCCACAAGAGTAGGGTCTGGGGAGGGTGTGTGTACGCAGACCTTGCCCCTACTCGAATGTAGAGAGGCTGTTTCCAAAGAGACCCCCAGCTCAACGTCGAAAGTTGCATTGCTTGACTAACTGCTACTTCATTAATTAAAGAAGCGCAGACAGTTTAGAGATCCATTTTGATTTATTCCATCACACCCCAAAGCCAAAAAATGGTGAAATTTTGGCTCCATCGGAGATGATGGAAATCCCTACTTGAAAGTAGAAAGGTTATTTCCAAGAGACCCCTAGCTAAAAAAAACTCTATTCTATAAAAATCTTCCTATCATCTTTTAGATGTTCCAATAAATATTCCTACTTATTTAATTTTCTTTTAGGTAGTATTTGGAAACTAAGATTTCATTTGAATCCTTTGATTTCAATTCCAATGTTTTTTTATTATTTCCAATGTTTTAATTCTTAGATTTCTAATGACAAGGGGACATATATGGATTTGTGATTAAGTTTTATTATGAATTTGAGGAATTTGACCCAAATCCAAATCCAAATTTTAAGAATATCTTATTATGGAATTTGAGTCAAATCTAGATTTAAAACCCAAATCCTAATTCCCAAACATGCCATTAAAGAAATGAACATGTGGCACACGGAATTTCTATCGCCTAAAAAATTTCAATCACATTTTTCAACACTTTTCTCGATGAGATGATGAGGGAGTATAAATTTGAGCAAGAGTTTTTGTGACATCCTTGAGTTTTTGGACGATGCTTGCACTACAAGGTTCACAACACTAGGAGACAACTTTTCCCCATGTTTTGTAGCTTTTTACGCCCATTTTCTTACAGTCTGTTTGGATTGAGCAAGAGGAGGGGAAATCCAGAAATGATCAAACTTTATTTGGAGTAGGAAAGTGTAGTAAAGAAGAGTAATTGAGATAACTATGAAGGATTATCAAGTTTCTGTTTGGATTACAAATGGAGCGACAGTTTATACTCTGCCCAAAAAATGAATCTTCTTTCAAGAAAGCGGTTTGGATTAATAACTCCAAAAAAATCTTGTCGTGGACATAAGTTGTACCTTCTTAGTGTCATAAAAGTAACGTTTATAATTTATTAAGGCATGGGCCTTTTTGAGTTCACTATAAATAAAAAGTTTTATTTTCTGGGATGGAGTGAAGGATTATGATTTTGCAGGGTGTCCACTCTCCCTCCATTTGACCCCAATTTGGTGGGATGACATTTGATGGGGAACCAAGGAATCCATCCATAACTTTTCCACTCCATTCTGCTCAATCCAAACAAGTCCTAAATCATATGTAACACACATCATTTCTCTTGCCTTTTCAGGGTTCAAAGCTTTCTGAATAGTGATCAGCAACACTGTGCCAGTAAGTTTCTCTCTGCGTACATGGAAGACGATGAAGAAGAAATCAAGCGTATTGGCCAGTCAAGTATAGTTTCGAATCTTGATAACGCGGTAAGTTGTAACCCAATGAGCTTTATATACAACAACAGCTTTATATACAATAACAAAAACCATAACCCAGTGTAGTCCCGGTCTGGGTGGGCAAGATGTATGTAGTCTTACACTCTTCTTACCCCTGTGAAAACAAACACAAAGAGGTCGTTTTTGTTAGGGTCTAGATATATTGCTGCATTTACTATCCAAAACGTCATAGAAAGTGAGAAGCAAAAGTAAGTTTAACGTGCCATTTCGATTTAGTCCATTATTTAATTGAAGAAAAAACATTGAAAAAATGACTCTTTTAGCCCCATGTGTGTCTGTGTGTGTTGTCACAGTTGAACTGATGGAATGTACTGGAACGAAATGCAGATTGTTAAACTCGCAAGGAAACTGCCTACTGGGGATGTAAGTTCATTCAAACACGAAACGACAAAGGGGAATGAAGAGCCACTTGATGAGGATGATCTTACCTAGTGATTTCTGTGTCATTCACACATTTTATTTTCTGGTCTGAGGTACGTGAATGATGTGATAGATCATACATATGAAATGATCAAGCACTTCACAACTAAACACACACGTATATACTTGCATCCTTCTCAATGTCGTGCACTTGTGCTTACTGTCGAGGTTTTGACTCCGCCACGGTCATATAATAAAACATGGATTTCTGTAGAGACCAGAGGGTCTCAATGTTGTGCTTATTGTCGAGTATTTTGTTTTTCCCGTTTATTTTTAATTTTTAATTTTCAAAAAATAAATAAATGGAGTCTCAATGTTTTTTTCTTCACACGGAGTGTTTTTTCGTCTTTTTAAACCGAAAGCACATAATTCATTCCCACAACCAGTAAAGCAAATGTTGCATCAACCAAAGCGTCCTACCAGTTACTCGTCTATCTTTTCCTATAAGCTAAGAAACATTTACTGTTAAGGGGAATTTATCTATATAATACTCCGGGTACTAAAATATAGTGACTTTTTCAATGTAGTACCATATGTTTTTATTTCCTAATGTAGTACCACTTGTCATTGTTCAAGTAAATGTCTATCGCCACTCGACATTATTCAAATTAAATATCCATCATCACTAGACATTGTTTCCTCTACTAGACATTATTCAATTACTATTTAGAAAATAAAAACGTTTAAGTACTAAATTGGAAAATGACATATTTTTAGTACTATTTAGTGCAAATTTCACTATTGTTAAATAATAATTCCTTTGTCCCTAAAAGATTGCCATAATTTGATTTTTTTTGATCAAACTGTCACATCCTTTGACCATGAATTAAATATAATTTAAAATAATTAATTATTATACAAAAATTGAAATATATTTTGAAATAAAGTTAATCTCAATAAACTTACATTACAACTGAATATAATTTTTCCATAATTCACGGTAAAAAAGTGCCACAATTTGACCAAAAAAAGCAAAATGTGGCAAGCTTTTAGAGACCGGAAGGAGTACATAATTGATGGTATGATATCAACCTTCTTGATCACTTTATGATGTAAATATCTATTTATATAGCCTCTCGAAATGTCATGGACACAATCAGCCCACACTGCAAGACAAACTCTGAATCCAGTAGTCCCTCTTTATTGGCATATATCCTTAAACACCTTCCATTTTTTTTAAAATACTTCCTTTTTTATCTTTTTGTTTTCCGCAAAACACTTCCACTTTATATTAAAAACCACTTTTTTATCCATACTTTTACCTACCATATCTATCATACTCCCTCCGTCTCATGAAACATGAGACTTTTGCTTTTTAGGAGGGATTTAAGGGGAGTGTATTTTGGTATTGAATTTCCAAAAATGTCCTTTGATGTGATGGGTAAAAATATGATTTGATGAATAAATTATTAGTAAAAAGGTATGATGTGATAGGTAGGGTATGAAAAAGTAAGGGGTAAAAGTGATTTTTTAATATAAATGAGAAGTGTTTTGTGGGACGGATAAAAAAAGAAAGGGGAAATGTTTCATGGGATGGAGGGAGTATCATATTTTTTTTACTAATAATCTATCCATCAGATCTTACTTTTACCTATCGCATCAAGTGCAAAATTAGAAAGTCAATCACATTTATACATTCTTTATTTGTCCTAAAAGTCAAAATAGGAACCAAGATATAAAACGGAGGGAGTATGTGAGAAAACTTTAATTTTGGACAATAGAGGATTCATCATTGTTTGTGTTTGAGGTGATATGTTATAAATTTGCATATATAACGTTATTTTATATTTAATTTTTTTGAAACAAAGTACTCATCTTTATTCACAAATCTCATGAAACATTTACAAGCAACTTCCATTACAGTATTAGATGCTCATACTATTAGTTATAAATGGAACATGGTATTTAATACTAGCTACAACTTCTTCCTCTTTGATCTCTTTTTGGTGAAGTTCTGCATTCCTTGCTTTTCAAATATTGTAACAAATAGTCATCCATGCAGTATTGGCTACATCCCTCCTAAAAGCTGGTTTCATCTTCCATATATTCTCCCCCATCTCTCGTAATTAAGCTTTCTCCTTTGATCTCGTACTTCAATCAATCAGTCAAAAATCTCCTTCATTACACTTCTAGTAATGCTACATGTACAAAAGAAGTGATTCGTATTCTCCCCCTTTTCCTCACATAACAAACAGTTCGTATCAAAATCCATGAATTTGTTCATCGTTGCTGTAGTTTGTAATCGGTTCTTCATGATCAACAAGAAAATAAATCTATATATGCCTAGGGATACTTCCTCTACTATAGATCCATTTAGACCAGTAGCGAGCTTTCCTTGATCTCAACAACTAACTATGGCCCTTTCGAATATCATATTCTGTATCTCTGTTCATCCTCTCAACAACTAAATTTCCTTCTTAAAAAAATATTTGAGATTTCTCCTTGTTTATCTTAAGACCTGTGCAACTTCTGAACATCTCAAGAGAATTCATAATACTTTGAACAGTTCCAAGGTCTGCCTTACATGCAATAATAAGGTCATCTACAAAAATGAGGTTTATTACCTTGAGAGGAGAACACATTGGATGAAATTTGAATCATTATTTGGAGCACAAACAATAACGGTGACAGTGGGTCTCCCTGTCTCAAACATTTTTCTCCCTTAAAAAATCCCATGAGAATTTCCATTAATCATGAGGGAGTATGAATGGCTCTTTACACAGAACATCACCCATTGTACAAACTTATCTAGGAATTTCATAAAACTTTCCAGCTAATTGAGTCATAGGCTTTTTGGATATCTAACTTCATCAAATATCTACGAGAGATATCCTTTCTTTTATACCCGTTTGCTAATTCTTGGCATAAAAGTACATTATGAAGAAGTTCCCTGTCTTTGATGAACGATCCTTGATTCCAATTCACAAGATTTTGCAAAACCCTTTTCAGTTTATTGCTTAAGAGTTTTGATATGACCTTATAAACCACATTACAATAAGCAATAAGTGTAACTCAGATGGGTGTTTGGGATTTCCTTTCTTGGGGATGATTGTAATACTTGTGGCATTGATCTGTTTAAGAGTTTTCTTTGCCTGGAAGAATTCTAACACAATCTCATTTATTAACTTACCAACCTGCTTCCGTTGAGTTTTAAAGAATCGACTATTGTACCCTTCTCGTCCCGGACTCTTTGTATTGGAAATCTCAAATAAAACCTCTTTAATCTGTTTAGGAGTGACCATTTCCATGAGATCAAGCTATTGGGTGATGTTTAGAGTTTTTTCTTCCTTAATCACACCATCATCTATATCAACTGTATGAGTCCTAGTTCCCAACAGTTGGGTATAAAACCTGATCATCTCTTTGGCTATCTACATCTGTTGTTCTTTGACTTTTCTTCCCTTTTTCATTATATACATAGCCAATATGATTTTGGATTGTCCTTTTTTCACCCAGGTATGAAACATTCTTGTGTTCTTATCTGGTAACCTTCTTCCAGCCATGATTGTTTCATATGTTGGCACTGCATCATATTTTATATTAATCATATATAAATACTTTTTTAAATCGTTGTTGGAAGAAACTAGAAATAGTGGGAAGAAATGGGAAGGAGGGCTGGAAGGAGTTGGAAGAAGTTAATTGTTAATTTTTCAAACCCAAAAGAACAGGGCCTAAGTGGACCAGGCACTAGGCAGAGTAATGTGCGGGCACACACAATGGGTGTTTATTTCTGCTTATAAGGTGGTCAAAATTGTTTATAATCAGTTTTTAACTTATAAGTCAACTGATGACATGTTTTTTTTGTTTTTAAGTTCTTACCTATTTATTTTTAAGTTAGTTTTTTCGTTTCTCCGGTTTTAGCAAATTATTTACAAAATTGTCCCTCACCATTTATGAATATTCCAAAATAACTTATCTATCATTTAAGTTCCATGAAATAATATTTGGCTTATAAGCATCTTATAAATTAAAAATTATTTATCAACAATAAGCCAATATATATCATCACAGAGAAACACAATCACAATATCCTAAAATTGATACATTGATTAGAAATTGATATGCTAGCACAAAACAAATATCACCTTCGTTCACCGCCATAATGTTCAACTTTAGGTTTTGGAAATTGCAAATAAATTTACTCATTTCCTTTTATACAAATATGAATAAGTGCATAGTTCATATAAATTTTCTCTCATATACAAATATTAATCGGATAGTCATTGGCGGACCTATGGCGATAGTGTAAATAAATAAAATTTTCTATTAAATTAAGTGTGTGTCTCCGGTGATCGAAAAGTATTACTAATGCTAATAAAAAAAACTGTTCCCAAACAGGGCTTAATTGTGATTTGAAATAGTATACAATGCAAAAGAATATCAAACCAAAGCTTAGTAGCTTGTCTATGAAAGAATTTGCCGGAAAAAGGTGTCACAAATTTATTCCTTTCAATTACTTGGAAGTAAGGCAATTCAAGGAAGTATGCCAAAAAAGTAAAAATAAATAAGCCAACGAAGTACATGAACAAAGCTAAGGGCCCCTCCAACATAGGCTATACGGTAAATCCGCGGATGTTTACACGATTTTGAATTTGCATAGTTCCAATTTAATCCCAATAGAAGCAAAAGATGTCCAACTACGCCAAATAACCTGTCCATATATATATATATATATATATATATATATATATATATATATATATATATATATATATATATATATAATAACATTATATATCAAAATTTATAACATAGTACCTCAAACATATGGACAAGAACGAATTCTTATTTAAAAAAATTAGAGTTTTCTTATTACATATTTATTCTGATGATCATTTAATTGACTGATTTTTGAACACTCTAATTTTCCAACATTTTTTAATTCTTTCTAGTTTTTTCCAATTCTTTCCAATTTTTTCTAACATTCAACTCTGAAATTCCAACTCGAAAGAACATGGCCTAAGTACTATCAAGAACATACTATTTCCCATCCTCCCTAAAAAAAAGTCATAGTTTAACTCTCATAGTTTTTGACGCAATACTTTGATTATATATATATATATATATATATATATATATATATATATATATATATATATATATATATATATATATATATATATATAAAATCTCTCCGTTTCAAATTAATAGTCCATATATCATTCGGTACAGAGTTTAAGAAAAGTAAAACTTTGTACTCTCTATCCACCTA